AAAAAAATAAATAAATAAAAATAAAGTTGAAGGAACATTGTCTCAGAATCTATTCTTTACTGAGAAACTTCAGGCCAGATACCCACTTTTACGAATCCTAATGTTGGGGCTGCAGTGGTCACGGTGACTCCGGGGACCAAATGTCCTCATCAATCCCTTTGATTTGGGGACTGGTTGGAATTTGGACAGATTGTTTAGGACCTCAACATAATCTGCCTAGTTCATTAAAAGAGTGACATTTAGAATGGGAGGGGAGCCCTTGCTGGGGCAAGTCCAGATTATGAATTGGGCTAAGTTTTGGTACCACTTTGTATATTATTTGACCTTAGATCCGATTTCTACCTACCATCCTATATTTGCAATCTGAATGAGTCTGTAAACAGGAGATTGCAGGTGATTCAGGACCTTGGAGGATGGTTTCCAGTGCCTTTTTTTTTTTAATTTTTTTATTATGTTATGTTAATCACCATACATTACATCATTAGCTTTTGATGTAGTGTTCCATGATTCATTGTTTGAGTGTATAACACCCAGGGCTCCATGCAGTACGTGCCCTCTTTAATACCCATCACCAGGCTAACCCATCCCCCCACCCCCTCCCCTCTAAAACCCTCAGTTTGTTTCTCAGAGTCCATAGTCTCTCATGGTTCGTCCAGTGCTTTTTTTAATATGAGTTCAGCTAAGGCTCATAAAGGAAATTGATAGCCCATTCTTTGTAATAAAGAGCATAGTAGGCAATGAAAATCCATCAGTAGTGTTTGCTGAGTTTTCCCAAAATTCAAGATACTACACTAAGTAAGCACTGCAGAGGTGTAAAGAGGAGAGAGGAGTAAGTGAATAGACGCGACCATCTACCTTTCACTCTCTCCCCACTCCCATGTATCCATCTATTTATCTCCATCTCCAGGATGTTTCCCCCATCTGATCAATAAATATAAAACATATTTCTGAAATGGACTTCCTTGATCTTCTACAGGGCATCTGTCTTTTTAGTTACTCCTTGAGTGACAGTGAAACCATTACTTTTCCAGTTTTCTTCCTGTGCTGAAAACGTTGAGGTATTATTAGTCAACTCATTATCTTCTGATGCATGACAACATCTCTTGGATCTGTTTCTTCGAGCCTCCCTCCATTTTAGAGGCACAGTCCAGTTCAAGTCTGTATCACCTCATGGCCTAATGGCTTTAGCGACCTCTCAGCTATAACCTTGGTGGACCAGCCTATTTCCTCCTCCATGCACATACCTCCATCCCCCGTTGCCACAACAACACCCCTCAAAGACGTTTTCCATATCATGTCGTTCATTCCTTTGACAGAGAAACCATTCTGCCTTCATTTTGGCTATTCTATCAAATCCAAATATCTGTGCCCAGCCTCGAAGCCATTCACTAACTCTACCTTCTATGTTTCATCAAGAGAATTCCCCATATTCTTTTTCATCCTAGGAAATCAGTGTGCTGTACGCAACCCTCGACTTCCTCCCACCTCCAGAGCCCACACACCATCCTCCCCATGCTGCCACGAACACACTTCACCCGTCTTGTGTTTTTCTTCCTGCTCTCCTTCCATTTGTCCTCGTCTCTTGTTTCAGAACTCTCATCAAACATCCCCTTCGGTCCTCCCTAACCTTATTTGTACTGCTACTGCTGTCTCCACACTCTTACGTGGCTTTGCAAATAGCCCCAAGTGGTTTCTATATGTCGGTTCTCATCTAGATAGTTTACCGCTAAAGACTGAGGCAGCAGAGAATTTTCCATTTCTTTTGTCAATGCTACACTTGGGGGAGCAACCCAGAGTGCTGAGGTTGATAGAATGTTCAGCATGAAGTGGGCACTCACTCCACGTTATTCACCAATTACAAAAAGGTTGCTTGATCCGCCGAAGACAACCAGAGGAGAAAAAGCAGTTCGGAATCCTCCTAACTGAAGCCTGTTTTAGGGAGCTCTAATGAGACCCAATTAGAAACCTTCCTCCTGTTTTCATATGTTTCATGTGAACAGTAAGAACTAATACGTGAAAAAATCAGGCTAACTGTGGCTTTTTGGACCATTGCACACTTCTGCTCTGAATGCTTGCCTGGTTTGCATTACGATTTCCTTCCTTGCTGGAAAACTACATAGACTTTCTCCCTTTCTTTGGAAGAAGTGGGACCTGTTGGAAATGTGAGGCTCCAGGATTCAAATGCAATGGGCTTGGCTGTGGTGCTCTGTAGTGCATTTCTTGACAAGTCCTGAAAAGACTATTGAATTCTAGCCTGTGCTTTTTTTCTGCAGTATTTGGATGTGTTTCAGCAACAGTATTTGGCTGGATAGAGTAATCGAAGTCGTTTTTTTCTTCCTCGGCAATCTTGTGTTACAATTTCATCCTTCGCAGTCAAAATGGAATACTTTACTCTGTGCAAATACTTTTGAGTGCAATAGAATCATTGCTCTTTCATAAGCAAACAATCTATCTTTTAATATTACACGTAAACAGGTGAAAGTATAAACTGGCAGTGCTATCCTGATGGAAAAACTGGAGGGTATTTGGTGACTTTGCTGGAGGATACCAAGTTACAATAAAGATTTTTTTTTAATTAAAGACAGGCATTTTGGAGGGACTTTTACTTAACAGGAAAAAAAATGGTTTTCCTCTTTAGTTTCCTATGATTAAAACACTGTAAGTAGTAACCTCAACAATGTCACAAGCGTTGCGCATATGTGGTGGGTTGGGGGTTTGATGCCCTGTGTAACAGGCTCTTGTTCTCTTGTAATCTTCAAAAGGCTGCTGGCCTTTGAATTTTCTCCATATCTAAAATTCTAGCTTTAATGATCAGATTAGCCTGCATTTTTTTTTTCTTTGTGAGTAAGGAGAGGAGAAGCTGAAATGAGTTTTATTATTCTGCAAAATGCTTGAGATGGTAGGATCCCAAATGTTTAATTTTGTTCTGGAAATGAGAGCTGTCAAATTATCAACTCCTTCAAGCCAATGGAGGGAAATTAATAAATCAGGGGAACAGAGTCACTGAGTGACATGACATCAATGGGCATTCGTGGTGTGGTGCGCTCTGCTAAACAATGCTGGAATTGTGCCTTCCAGGGTCCCTGCAAGTCATGAACAAAACAAGAAAGATTATGGAGCACGGGGGGGCCACCTTCACCAACGCTTTTGTGACCACCCCTATGTGCTGCCCCTCCCGGTCCTCCATGCTCACCGGAAAGTATGTGCACAACCACAACGTCTACACCAACAATGAGAACTGCTCCTCACCTTCATGGCAGGCGATGCACGAACCTCGGACTTTTGCTGTATATCTTAACAACACTGGCTACAGAACAGGTAAAGGTGGACTTGCTAGCCAATGAACCTCTGATGGTACTTCTTAGATACAGGGAAATGCCTCGTGTAATGAAATATATAAAGTTACAATAATTGGAAGTAGTGTAGGCTTTTCTCTTCGCTATCAGGATCCTCCCCATCCCATCCTTTTTCACTCTGAAGAATGTACCAATGCAAGATCCCTTAGAAAAAAGTGATTCTCAGTGGGCACATTATGAAAATGTTATATTCATCAGAGCACCCAATGGTTGGAATTTTCTAAGAGGATCCGCAACAGAAGAGCTTTCACCCCCATTTACCTGCTTACCTCAACCTCCCAGATCTCAAGGGATCATGGTACAGCTTGAGGCTTGTCTTAAGGTGTCAGTACATTTCTGCTGATTTTTTCAGTGAGAAATCATCAAATATTTTGAAACTGCTTAGCATCTACTCCAAGATCTGGGACGCAATAGGTGATCAAAATGATTTTTTGAATTAATAAATAACCGAATGAAGAAACCAATGGGGTGTACCTTTTTGATTCATTTATTCATTCATTCCTAAATGATAGAATTTGGAGTTTCTTTAGCTCAGGTTGTGGTTATTTTTAGGTCCCAGATGTTCACGCCCATCTTCCGAGAAGGGAAGGCATCCCCAATCTTAAGAAGGCAAGAAAAGGTTTCTGGTTAGTTGGTCTTTTGAAAATTAGGGATCTCTTTCAAGAGAAGTCATAAACGTCATGCCAGTCTTTCTAAGAAAGAAGCAAGGCTCCTTCTGGTAAGGTTAGCCCCCAAAGCCTTTGAATAAAGGCTAAGAGAATTCTCAGCATGTTGATGCTCTCCTTGGGTTTTCTGAATGCTTCTTCATGAAAGGCAACAAGGATGTTTACAGAAGAACTGTAGAGCAAAAATGTTTTTTTTCAGAGCCACCTAGACTTATAAGATTTAAGGATATCATCACTAAAGCTCACTGGAAATGATTTTTAGGTCTACAGTTTCTCTATTCTGAAGATTTAAAAGTAAAGGATTTCAGAAAAATATATTCTCTTAAGTACCTTTAAAAAATGAAATGAATCTTTCCCACTGCACTTGAAAAATATGAGGCCATTTGTTTCTTTGCAGAACATTCTGTGGGCACTTAATACTTGTTGTTTATGGATAAAAATATTGATTTTGACTATGATAGCATTGTCATTCACAAGCATCTCAAGATCTCCATTCAGAGAGGAAGCTCTTCCCGTGACTCTCAAGGGTGTTTGCTTATGCTTTGGAAAGAAACTAGGTTACTCAGAGTGCCTTATCCTAAGTGTGTTTTCTCACGTAAGTGATTTAAATTTATGGCACCTTTCATCTGAGAGCTCAAAGGCACTTTGCGAATCCATCAAACATCCCTGTAGGGTTTAGAGACAGCAAATGTACTTGGCTCTGTTTTATAACTGAGGTGGGGATTTCAAATATTGTGTGACCAACTCAGAGAAATGTTCCCTTAATGCCTGGTTCCTGATTTTAACCACCAGATTATGTTTTGTTCCTGAGAAGCATCATGTGACATCGATGCCTTTCAACTTCCAGGCTCTCTATGATTTAAAACCTAGTAGCGGATAGAGAGCTTGAAGGGTCGGGACTCTCCCCATATCCAGAGTGATATGGATGATGTCTGTCATAAGAAATAGAGATTCAGGATGACACAGAGAACCCTGCCAGGACTTAGAGTGATCCACTAGGTTTTGCTAATTTGTTTCAGGGCAGATCAAGAAAAAGCAAGAAGATGAATGAGTTCTGAAGAGATTGTGTACAGCAATGGGACCCTAGTTGACAGTGTTGTATTGTACACTTGAAATTTGCTAAGAGGGTTGGTGTTGTCACCATAAAAGAAAAAAAAAGGAACATAGTATAGGAATGAGGTGATGGATGTATTGGTTGGCTTGGAGGTCGTGAATATTTCACAGTGTTTATGTATTTTGAGCCATCAGATTGTACACCTTAAATATATTACAATTTTTTAAAGATTTTATTTATTTGAGAGAGAGACAGAGAGCATGCACAGATGCAGGGAGAGAGAGAGGGACAAGTAGACTCCGCACTGAGCATGGAGCCCAACCCAGGGCTTGATCCTATGACCCCAAATCATTACCTGAGCTGAAACCAAGAGTTGGTCGTTTAACAGACTGAGCCACCCAGGTGCCCCAAGTATATTACAATTTTTGATTGTCAATAATACCTCAATAAAACTAGGGAGAAAAAAGAAAGAGGGAAAAGAAGGAAATTAGTATTTTTTGCTTACCTACCATGCAGCATGCACTTTAGCTAAATTGTCTCACTTAATTCTTCGGGCAACTTTGGAAGAAAGGATTTGCCTGTGTTACCAAAGACGAAACAGAGACTAAGGAGAGTTGTCACAGGCTAATCAGTGATAGGATGGGTCCATCACATCTGACTCCAGAGTCTTTCCTTTTTCCATCATCTTATTTCTTTACGTACGTTTCTGTCATGCCTCATTCCAAAGTGCCCTCAGAGACACATAAAACATAGCAGGATACAGAACAGTAAGGACGCTGGCAAATGGAAATGAAGAGTCATACCAGTAAAAGTCAAGGCAAAGCTTGGTATACAAAGTGCGCACCGTGGAGCTGTGGAGAAAGGGTGCCTATGTGGGGAACTAAGTTTCCAGATGGCAAAAGCAAAAATCGAAATGCCATCCATTGCGAAGTTTACCGGGTCACCAAGATAGAAATAAATCGGTTGCTTCTAAGAAGTGTAGCGTATTCTGGTACTTGTTTCAATTAGACTATGCTGTATCTACCCTACAATAGATCATAAGAGCTTGGATAAAACAGAGAGAATTTAGTTCAAGTCCCTTATTTTCAGGTGAGCAAATTTCTGCCAACAAGATCAAAAGTGACACATCTGATGTTCTAATGGGGAGAGCAGGTGTCAGGACCTTGGTCTTCAGGGTTCTTGCCAGTGTGCAACCCTACCTGTGAGGGTTGGGTCTTGAATGACACTGTGCACCATAAGGCTGTCCCGATGACACGGGGCGCCTGGCTGGCTCAGTCATTAAGCGTCTGCCTTCGGCTCAGGTCATGATCCCAGGGTCCTGGGATCGAGCCCCGCATCGGGCTCCCTGCTCAGCGGGAAGCCTGCTT